CCAGCACTTTGGGAGGCTGAGGTAAGAGGTTCGCTTGAAGCCAGATTTCCATACCACCCTGGGCAGCAAAATCAGACCCTGCCTCATAAAAACAAAATAATAAAAAGTAACAAATCAAACCTCAAGCCAGAACATCATATTGTGTGTGAGTTGAAAGTGTTTTTTTTTTCCTTCCAGAATCTATATTAGCAAAGTTGGAGAAGGACAAAAAAAACCTTAGGTGACAAAAGTAGTTTAAGCACTTTGCTTTCTTTTTGTGGAACCTCTAGTCACTATTGGCATTTGAGAGAAATTAATGGTTGTTCTGGCTTTTAAAGCTTTTTTAAAGTACTTAAAAATTGACTGAAGGCTAGAGGAAGGGGCTAAGCTGTACTTTTCTGTACCAGCAGAAACCATAGGAAATTCCTTTTTGAAAACAGTAGCTGCAGGTTTATCCAAAGGCTTAGGACTTGTCACCCATTCACGGCAGTGGTGCTTTATCCATGCTAATAATTGTACATCACTTCCCAGCTGGTGTCCTACATGATGTTCAGAGTCAATAAATGCAACAGCATATACTTTGCTCATCACTTCCCACCTTCTACGAACAAGCAAGTCCATAAAAACCAAGCCTCCATAACCATGTACAATGAAGGCAATATCCTTGCCTTCAGTCTTTGAAATGAAGTAATCCCATATGTAAGCCATGTGTTCTTCGGGGGTGTTGCTGCATCTTTTTGGAATGCATTTGGGAGGATGCTGGAGAGAGAAAAAGCTCCCACCTGGAACCATTTTTAGAGAAGACGACTCAATATTTTGTGTTAAAAGGCCTTGCCACTCTTTTTCCATCTTTAGTTCCACAAAATTATCATTGGGGTTTAGCACCATTACATCATAATGTGCCTGCAATGCCATTTGAATACACGGTATCTGACTTCCGTGTTGGAGACCATGATGTACTATTGCCTGCTGACTCCACTGACCAGCTCGAAAGACCCCATGGTCTTGAAGAAGGACAAGAAGAGCAGAATGGTGATTTGTTAATGCTTTCTCGCTCATAAAAAAGAAGCTTCTTGGTTCTTCTTCATCAGCCTCAGGTGGGATATATACTTTTTGTAATTTGCACACCTTCTCCAAAAGCTCATAAATATATTGTTCAAGCAAATGGCCAAGGGCCTGGTAGCGCTTGCTATTTTTCTCAAGCACATTTTCATAATAGTTAAAGACAAAAGGCCTTTGTGTTTCAGTGTGTCTGAATTCAGCTTTTTCATTGAAGTCATATTTAAGTTCTCCTAGTAAGTCAGATTGTTCAATAAATTTTTGGAAGCTCAGCTCCTGTGTCATTGGTAACCACTGAAAGTTAAAAGAATAATAGTACATCAGTGCTAGTAAAAGTCAAATGAAAATTTCAGCTTGTCAAATTCTTCCTGCGGCACATGATGCTAAACTAAACGGGTCAGAAAGACATTAACCTTCTAACCAGTGGTAAAGATGTTAATTCGAAATAATTGTGAATGATTCAAAACAGTGAGAGACTGAATATATGAAGGGACAATGGAGAGACCATATGTAAATATGGATTTTTTTGACACACAACCTGCCCAGGAAGCCAACCCCTCATTTACAATAAACAACTCAGGAAGTCAGTCTGGTATAAATCAGACTGGCAGGAAATCAGATCTCTATCACTAGTGACAATTCAGGAAACTAACCAGTAACTTCTACAACACTTGGCGCTAAATGGCAAGAACTTCATTAATATCTGACAGCTTTCCTAATTTTGTCCCTATTTCCAACCTGAGACCAACCAGAGAGAGCCAAATACGTACCCCTAACCAATCACGCAAGAAATCCCCATTTCTAGTTAGCTCACCTACAGCTTCTCCACGACAACTTGCAATCAGGGCAAATGTGAAGTCTTTTCTTTTTTTCCCCACTATAAAGCTCTCCTACTCTTCTGCTGCCTTGAGTCTCTGCCAAAACGCAAGTGATAGTGGTGGACTCCCTTGCTACAGCAGGCTCAGAATAAATAGGCTTTTCTCATTTGGTTGGTCTTCATTTATTTCTACAGAAGATATTTAATAACTTTTGCTGTTAAATGAATGGCAGAAGATAGAAGCGGGAGTGAAATGTGAATCAGGCAATGGAGATTATGATCAATTCAGCGAATACTAGAAGATACAGTTATTCTGATGTCTGAGAAGGAAGAAAAATAGGCTAGATGAGAAGTTAACTTAGATAGTTCCTTAGGCAGAGCTTAAAGCCTGAAAAAAAGGCTTTGAAAGGTTAAGTGACTTTCCCCAAAGCCAAACAACTGTCAGAGGAGTGATTGCGGATAAGGCTGACTTTCAAATGAACTTTCTTAACAAAGATGTTAACACTCTCCCTTCTTAATTTCTTAACACTGACACTGGCAAACTACAACCCACTTCCAATAAGTAGCACTCCAAATGATTTTCAGTGCAACTCGAGTTGCTGTTAGGCCTAAGGCAAAATTCAAATGGTGCCTGCTTGGATGTCTTAAATCTCTTTTAATTTTTCTTTCTTTCTTTTTTTTTTTTTTTGAGATGGAGCCTCACTCTGTCGCCCAGGCTGGAGTGCAGTGGCGCGATCTCGGCTCACTGCAACCTCCACCTCCCAGATTCAAGCAATTCTCCTGTCTCAGCCTCCCGAGTAGCTAGGATTACAGGTGCCCGCCATCATGCCCAGCTAATTTTTTTTGTATTTTAGTAGAGACGGGGTTTCACCGTGTTGCCCAGGCTGGTCTTGAATGCCTGAGCTCAGGCAATCCACCTGCCTCGGCCTCCCAAAGTGTTAGGATTACAGGTATGAGCCACCACACCTGGCCAAATCATTTTAAATTTTTAAATTAATTTTTTCCCCACTTCAATAAGCTGGTCTAAGATTTCTTACTCCCTTCTCACTTTCTAAATCTTATTCTCTGACCCCTCTAACCCAAAAGGTACTTTACAAAGGTTTGTGGTTGTCCAAAGCACTATCCAGACTGCTCGCTATTCCTTCCTTTTCTATTAAAAATGCATCTAGTCTTTGCTGATCTCAGGTGTTATTTTTGAAAGACAGGGTCTGACTCTGTCACCCAGGATGGAGTGTGGTGGTGTGATCACAGTTCACTGCAGCCTCGACCTTCTGATCTCACAGTTCACCTCAGCCTCCCAAGTAGCTAGGGCTACAGGCACATGCCACCATGCCTGGCTAATTAAAACAAATTTTTTTTAGAGACGGGATCTCACTATGTTGCCTAGGCTGGTTTGAAACTCCTGGCCTCAAGTGATCCTCTTGCCTTGGCCTTCCAAAGTGGTGGGATTACAGGTGTGAGTCACCATGCTCAGCCTCTCTCTCAGATGTTATTATGTAATTAATTTACTTTTTCTAAAGTGTAAATAATTGACAGACTTAACCATCCTTTCAAAAAAAAAAAAAAAAAAGCCTTGAAAATGGTTGCAATGCATGGCAAAAATCCATGCTTCAAAAATCCAGGAATGTTTTACATTGAGGCCATGGTGAAACAATCTAATGGGAGGTCATAACCTTATTCAAAATTTTCAGTGGTGATGTTTGTTGACTTCTTGTTTCCAGACTGGCATGTAAAAATCTTGGAAGTTGCTACTCAGTCCTAACAAGTAAAAAGCTAGACAAACTGAAAAGGAAAAGCTCTTCTTCATAGGATCCATAAAAGAAGTAAGGTTATTGGGCATACTACCGCCTCCAAAATCGGAGGGACTGAAAGCACGTCAATATAGAGAATCACAACTTACCAGAGCAGAGAGTAGCTGCTGAAGCCGCCAATGGAACAACTACCAGGATAGGTCAATGTGAAGGATCAGTGTGGACAAGTCAGAGGGACCTAGCCATCCCCTCTTCCTCGCTCCCCAATTTTGTTTAAGCTCCTGGAGCTCTCACAGGTCCTCAGGGTGACTATCCATGCCTCTGGTAGTGGGTGGGGAAAAGGAGCCATTTTGAAATACGCCAGAGCATTTTGTTCTTCTTAACAAGGTCTGCCCTCAGGAGAAGCTATTTAATCAGAGGCTAACCTGCCGGGGTTTTATCAGAGCCTAACTGACTTGGGGGAAGGGAAATATCCAACTCTAGCCCACTCTAGCTACCCTGCCCAACCCAAGGGGGTTGTAGTGAACTGAGACCTGTGAAGTTCACAGTCTAGATGCACAGGCTTACTAAAATTCTCAATGGTCTCCCTTCTCACTCAGAATAAAAACTAAGTTCTTACCATGGCCTACAAGGTCTCACATGGCCATTAGCTCTCCAATGTCATTTCCTACCACTTTCTCACTGGTTTACTCATCCAGTTACATGATCTGGGGCTTAGCTCCTTCTCAGGTGTCATTTCCTACCACTCTCTCACTGGCTTACTCATCCAGTTACATGATCTGGGGCTTAGCTCTTTCTCAGGTGTCATTTCCTACCACTCTCTTGTTTACTTCACCATCGTCGCACCTGGTCTACTTTGCCATCAATTTGTGAAGCAAGCTCTTGTTCTAAGAGTATTCACTCTTGCTAGGCCCACAGCCTGGAATATTCCTCCCCTTTATAGATATCTATAGGACTTTTATTTTAAAGTTTCTGCCCACTTTTTATCTCATCAGAGTGATTTTCTTTGAGCAGTCTATCATAAAGAGTAACTCTCTCCCTTCCTTTTTTTTTGGGGGCACTTATTACCAACTGACATATGTTTGCTTATTGTCTACCTCTCTCCATTAGAATGTAAATTCCATGACAGCAGGAACAGGGACTTGGTTTTGTTCACTAGTGTATCTCCAGTTGTTGGAATAGTGTCCGGTGCACAGTAAGCACTTAAATATTGTTAGAATTTTACAGTTTTTTGCCAAGCACATGAAGTAAAGCATACTTTAAAAGTCCTCTAGCAATACATGAATACATAAGAGAAAGATGCAAAGCTTTTGGAAAATTATAGAGACTTGTGTTATAATTCTAAACTTAATAAATGTCAAAGGTTATGAATTATTCTTAGAGAATATCCCAACCATCAATTTATATATGCTTTATCTTTTGCAAATCAAGATAAACCATCTCAAGCAAATTCAATATGGTTCATTAAACAAAAGAGGGAGAGAATGAGACAATTTTTATGCTTAATTTTCCAAAGAATGGATTAGAATAAGATAGTTTAGGGGAGGAAAAATAATTATTTCCTTAACCCTCATGAGTTCTTAGTTGGAATGAACCCTTGTAACAACAGAAAAACAAAGAAGTTTATCAATGCATGCAGTGCACATCACCTTAGAGAAATCTAAATGAGGAGTAACTCAAAACAGTGGCTTACAACTCTGGCTTATGTAAGTATCTTCAACGAAGAACAATAAATTTGTGGAGAGAAGAAAGAACAAAGGAAAGAGTTTTAGACTTCTAAGGGTGAGAAACTGTGGGAATATAAATCTACAGAAGGAAACTAATACAGTAAGGTTTGTTTGCAGATTCGTCTGGGGCTTTCTGGGCTGGTAAGAGTCTAGAGAGAATTTATGTCCTGCCTTTTAGCTAGAAAAAAGAGGAGAGAGCTTTCCCTCCATTTCCTGCTTCTTAATTGCCTTCGGCTCAAAAATAATTTTTATATAAAAGAGGTATATTTTGGCCGGGCGCAGTGGCTCACGCCTGCAATCCCAGCACTTGGGAGCTGAGGCGGGTGGATCACGAGGTCAGGGGTTCAAGACCAGCCTGGCCAACATGGTGAAACCTCGTCTCTACTGAAAATACAAAAATTAGCCGGGCATGGTGGCGGGCGCCTGTAATCTCAGCTACTTGGGAGGCTGAGGCAGGAGAATCACTTGAACCTGGGAGGTGGAGGTTGCAGTGAGCTGAGATTGTGCTATTGCACTCCAGCCTGGGCAACAAGAGCAAAACTCGGTCTCAGAAAAAAAAAAAAAAAAGGCATATTTTGAGGTGACTTTCTGGTTTCCTTCAATAGTTTATCTTCAAGAAAAAGACTATTAGAGCTAGAAGGGACTTTATTGATATGCTTAGCTAACATGTTTATTTTATAAATGGATAAGTTGAGGCTTTCAAAGGTAAAGTGGCATGCCCAAAGTAACTGAGGCAGCTCGGGAGCCTGAGAGATTTTTTCCCCTCCCTTTTTGACTTTTATTTTAGGGTCGGGGGAATGTGCAAATGTGTTACAAGAGTAAATTTTGTGTCACTGGGGTTTGGTATACAAATGATTTCATTACCCAGGTAGCGAGCATAGTATCTGATAGGTAGTTTTACAACCCTCACCCTCCTCCCACCCCAAGATTAGTTTTTACCAAAGATTTAAAAATGCATAGTATTTGACTTTTTCTTTCATTCATTCACCAAAAACTCTGTGAGGCCATTTGGTAGGCACTTTGTTTACTATGTCAAGTACTCCAGTCATTTAATGCAGACTAAAATTTTAAAAAAGGAGAACAGCATATACGCATTAGAGAGAATTTGAAATTAGGCTTTTCCAGTATCCTGGATTAGGTGGTGACACAGCTGTAATGATTTATTCTAGGTGTGGTTATTTCTTAAAGTAAAAAACAATTGTGAAAATATACATAACAAAATTTACCATTCTAACCATTTTTAAGTGTGCAGTTCAGAGGCATTACGTACATTCACATTGTTGTGTAACCATTACTGACATCCATTCACAGAATGCTTTTCATCTTACAAAACTGTAAGTCTAGACCCATTAAACAATAACTCCCCACTCTCCTCACACTAGGCACTAGCAACCACCATTCTACTTTCGAGTTCTCTGAATTTGACTTCTCTAGGTTAGGTGTGATTATCTTTAAAGAAGAGCGTGGGTGGGATACTGGAATCATAGACGCAAATAACTTTAATTAGCATATTTGGATTTTTAAGGAACCCCTTTCCTTTCTAGGATCAAAAGTGGTTACATTTAACAATATTTACATTTTTCACAGGTGATTAGTAAGCTTTTATAAAAAAGTAATTTTATAATCTGAGAAGTTAAGAAATCCCCTGGTTACAGAGTAATAATCTAATACAGTAATTATAATCCTTTTTTATATTTAGGAACAAGGTCCTTTTGTATATACCATGC